AAAAAAAAAACACACAAACAAACTGAATTTTAAAAGCTCTTTATGATGGTGATGGTTTGTGTTTGATTTGGGAAAAGATTCTAAAGTTGAACAAATTGGAGGTCAGCCAACATCCCACAACCGATTGTGCTTAACATTTTAAATTGAACCTGATGGATAGTTATTCACGTCAGCTATATAGTGGTTGTGAGGGAACTTTGTCTTTGTTCCTCTCTGAAAACACGAGGCATAAAGGGCCAGTGTGTGCAGTTGACTTAATGGCTCAACCACTGCCTGCTAGCCATTTACCGAAAGGCATGGGAAGCCCCTGTTATCCTTTCCTGTGTGCTTTGAGAGCCCGGCGAGAGAGAATAAGGCCGCCTTTACATGGGTACGGCGCGCAGGCGTGGAGGAGCGGACGCGTATTGGACCCCGTTAAATGCCCCTTGGCAGCGCTGCGGTATTTATTTTCTGTCCAGAAATATGACCTCAGCTCAGTCTGGGCTCCATCAACACGGCTGCATTCTTTCGGGCCGCCACCACTTCTACCGGGAGGAAGGAAAAGGCGGATGAGAAGTCACGCTCAAATGCTCAAAGCCGCAAAGACTTAGCTCAAGGAAAATGAGTCACAGTGAGAGAGGCATCCAAATCCTTATTTTTTTTTTTTTTTTCCTTTTATGTCAAGGTCAAGAGTCCTGACTTTCCACTGACATCCGTGCGGGTTTGCGCCACGCAAAGCAATGCAAAGCTTTTGTTTTCAACGTTCACCATGCGCACACGTGTTTTGTTTGGATCACCCTTTGTTAGGCGCTTGGTGCCTTGGTTTGTTTGTCTGCCGGATTATGCAAAACGTAAGCAAATTTTGAGAAGACGACGTGTGCCGTCCACAGGGATCTGGTTTGTTATTCTCTCGTTGCCATCTGAGCCCTGAAAGAAAAATTACACCCTTTGTATCATTTATGTTTTCACAACCATTATTGACACTTTTATCTCATGTTCTACGTTTTTTTTTCTACGTTTCTAAAGTCTTACTAAAGTACAACAGCTTTGTCACAGAATAATGAAGCTTGATTTTTCATTTTCCCCCAAACTGCTACAGTGGCTTCCCCCCGCCCTCTTCACAATGTTCAGTAGCATTCTTTCTTCTTCTAGACAAAAAAAATGAATCATTCCTTTTCCCCAAACTGCATCACTGTTATTTTTTTCCCCTCTTTGACAGCGTTCAATAACAACAATCTTTGAAAAGAATCTTTTATCGTCTTACATTTACAAGCATCCCCCCCACCCAAAAAAAAAATTATATGCCGCTTTAAAAGTACACATGCTCAACTGGCTTTTCCACTACTGAAGCTTTCATCCAAATATCTCTCTTACAAAGATAATAATGCTCAGATTTGATTGAAACTGTCAGCGAGGTATTTGTTTAACAATCGGTTTATGATGGCGGTTGTAGTTTACAGTGCAGTCGAACTGAAATGAATAAATCAGGATGGTGACCCTGCTTCCTTTTTTTTTTTGTCTTTTTCCACCAGTTGTCCTGCAGGCCTGCGCGCTGGTCCTGTACCCGATCAAGTTCATCGACGGGACGGTTCTGCAGACGTATCACGAATTCAACTGGGGCTACGGCCTCGGCTGGGGCGCCACCATCTTCATGCTGGGCGGCGGAGTCCTCTTCTGCCTGCGGACGGACATATACGAGGATGGCATGTACTGACGCCTCGCGCGCCGCCCTTCATCAGAACACACGTCGAAATTCTTTGGACAGCCGGTGTGTATAGGAGCACGGACTTAAATTCTCTTCTCTGGCTCTCTCTGGTTATTTTTAGTCAGGTTGCAAAGGTCTAGAGTAGGACAGGTTTCTTTGAGTAGAACCCCTTCAGTTTACTATCAACGCTCCCTCCCCCATTCGCTCACAAACGTGTCCCTCAGCCTGGCCGCTATCGGGGTGAGGTGGCGACCTTTTGGGACGCCCACCGGTTGCTGGACATTTCCACTGCACGGTGGCCTGGATGTCTGTTGTTTGGACAAAATGGACAGTAGGGTCGGAATATTTCAAGGCAGCAGTGCATTGCCGTGTTGTGGCCTTTTAATTTGGGCCTCTTCTTTTCTAGCATGACAACGAGGAGCTTGTCGGTGTATTCATGGTGCCGTTTTTCCTGCATTTTGCCTGAAACATATCATAGAGTGTCTTCTGACGTCACGGCTTTTTATATAATATGCTGGAGCTACTGTATTTATAGTTTGTGTGTCTCTGATGGAAATGTAAATGTGTAAAAAGTGTTTGTACACGAAGGACTTTGCTGAATAAAAAAGTGTCGTTTTGGGGTATGAGGAGTTAAGGGGTTTAAATTATTGGTGTGTCCTGACAGCAGAGGTTTAAACATCTTGACCTTTGACCCATGTCTAAAAAGGGGTGCCCCCTTATGTGGACTTGGTGTTTATCATCAAGGGCTCACATTCCACACGGCGACGTTTTCAGCAGCTTGCAGGATCGCTCGCATTTTGGTTCCATTTGCTACAATTACGTTCACAGTTTGCATGTGAGTGTGAAACACAAGGCACCCGACGTGCTGGGAGACTGGTGTGAAGTTGTCACCCTCAAAAGTATAAACGGCAACAGCTGCCCGGAGAACCACCGCAAATAAACTATGTCGGCAGCTGCAGCATCTGGATAGATGACCACGTGAGGATTTGATGTTTTGTATGGGAACGAACCAACAGCAAGGGGGAAAGTCCCAAATGTCTGCATTGATCCTGTCATGTTGGACGTGAGAGGCGTTTCTTCAGTGGGATTCTTATAATAGCAAGCTGAAATGTGATCTGGGTGGAGGTGGTGGAGTTGCAAAAACAAATGGGGAGGGTTGTCGTACAAGGAGGATTTTCATAAAAACCCAAAAGGGTGTAGGGAACTTTATGTTCACTATTTGCAGTGATCACATGCACAGAACACGCATCCATTTGAAAATACAAAGTACACACAGACATTGAATTAATTTGCTATATTTTCCACCAGAGTGATACATTTAAACATCCCTCACATGTATCATGAAGTGCAGTTTCATACCACCGCAAACTCAAAGCGCACACATATTGTAAAATGAATATGAATGACATTAAATACTCCGCGGAAAATGATCTATTGTGAAAGTCGCCCATCCATTCACACGCCTTGACAGAGAACGCTTGTTCGATTGTCGTGAGCCAGCTGCCTGTTTCCGGCCACTGGCTGCTGTTTACTTTGTGCAGCTTTCATTCAGGATCTAATTTATCCATTGTGTCACTTCTGTCTCTCTTCTACCCCCGTGTGGTTAAAAATGGCATTGCTTCGTCCTTGTGACAGATTTTACTGCACACTGCATTGTTTGGTAAATGTGTTGATCTTCTGCCACTTTGTTAACCCCGCAGCGAGACGTAGCATTTAAAGTATTTTTTTAATTTATTTATAGAACTTACAAAGGCAAGGCAAGTGTTTATATAGCGTATTCCATACACAAGTTAACTCAATGTGCTTCACCTAAAAGCAAAATGCAATATTTAAAGGCAAACGGAGTTAAGAATTTAAGAAATTAGAGAAAGGCAGTTTAACATGAATTTGGAAATATTGATTATAGACATGCTCTAAAATATCTTGATCATAGGTATGGGGATGGTGGAGGTAAAAGGCATAGTTTTTAACCTGGATTTAAAAGCATTTACACTTGAGGCTACCTTCAGATCTGTTGGCAGCTTATTCCATTTGCGTGCAGCAAAACAGCTAAATGCTGATGCATCATGTTTCCTTTATACCTCTCTGGTAAAAAAATAAATAAAATAAAATACAGTAAAATGAAGTAAACATATTAAAAGACTTAGCAACATCCTAGTATGTGTGCCAATATTTGCCCACTTAAAATTAAAGTTTCATTATTCTGATACATTTTCATGATGACGGAATGATTCTGAAGAGGACACCAAAGACACTTTGTCGTGCACGTTGACCCAGTCGTATGAGCGCAGCTTGGAAGAGATGCCCCACTGAGGTAGGTATTTGGAAGAACAAGTCGGCCCCCGGGGACAGTAACCAGCTGGGCCCTGCAACCTTTCAAACTGCAGGGACAGATTCCAGTTACTGAACCTGGGAGACGGAGACACACTTTCTTGAACTCTGAGAAGGAAAAAACAATGATGATTGTTGCTCGTGTGGTGGTTCGCAAAGTTGATCTTAACTGCTGACCCAGTCCAGGGTGTTACACAACTGGATTGGCTCCACTTCACACACTAACCATCCAGGTGACAAATGGTAAAGAAAGGGTTGATGATTGGACAGATGATATACAATGCAGGTTGAAGAGTGAAAATATGGATTCACGCAGGCAAACCTGAAAGCGCTGCGGCTCGTCTCGTGGTCCTCCGAGCTGGAAGTCTTCAGCAGCAAAGTGAAGCAGATAGCAACAACTGAGCTATACATTACCACCACTCCAGTCTAATATCAAGCGTGACCCCACCAAAATTACACATTAACTTGAAACATGTCTCCCTCGCTATCGTGTGTCTCCTTGGGCCCTCACATGCCGAACATGAATTAAGAAAGGACAAGACAAACAACACAACATAAAGCAGGAATGGTACAACTGGACGGAATTAAAACTGAGGACTAACATTTTGTACAATAATAGAGTAACCTACCCACAGACACAAATGTGTATAATGCACAATTAGGGCTAGTGGGAAGCCTGCAGATGGCTGCACGGCTGACCTTGTCAGTGTCATTTGTACAAGGGATCAAACAACAAAAAAGCTGAGGTCATCCAGGATCCAGATGGATTCATTCCCATGCTGTGTGCATAAAAAAGTCTTCAACAAAATTGTGCAATCCAAATGAGCTTTATTTTATTGTATTTTTTTTTTGTTCAGGTAAACATCAGGCAAACTGCATGTTAGACTGTAACTCTTTACCAAGGTGGAATTTCTAGACATAATCAGAGTTTAAACATTGACAAAAAGCATATAGAAGAAAATTTTTTTTTAAATAAGATAATCAGAGTTTAAACATTGACAAAAAGCATATAGAATTTTTTTTTTTTAAATAAGAATGTAATTTTCCCCTGTAATATGACTTAACATTCACACATTGCAAAGAATAAATATATTGCTGTACTCATTTAAAATCATCTTCCCACCATTGAAATAAATGGATATCCATTTAACATGTTCCAGCCGCCAACGGTTCACAATTACTCTATGTCCACCAACATGAACAACAGGTTGGATTCAGTCAGTGGTAGACAGTAAGAGGGCTCCACATGGATCCATGTGGGACACCATCAGTCAAGTGCTGGAGACTCTTAAAAATGGGTCAAAATTCGGTGTCACCTGGAAAGACATCGAGAAAAATGTAGTATAAGTACATGGCGGAGTTATGATTATGGGGCACGTTTTAGAAGAATGAGTAGTTTGTTTACTTGTTGTATTCTGTTCAAATATGGTACATGTTTGGTGACTCCATTCACTCCAGAAGCTTCCTGCCGCACAATATTTGTGCACTTTGGAGCGTACACGGAAGCAGTTTTTCTTACCCACAGCAGGCAAAGTCAGGCTTGTGCGCATGGTGGAAATTGGCTCCTGTAGAAGATATGAGGAATTGACAAATCAGGGTGGGAAAAAAACATGAAAAAAATACAGAATGATCATTTTTTGGTAAAGTGTATTGCTGCCACATCAAGAAAAAAAGTCCTGTCATAATTGTACACACGTGATCACTTTTATGTGTTAACATGAGAGCCTCGCACAGCAAATGGCAAGTCTAATATATTTTACATCGCTTTTATTTAAAAAAATTGCATTACACTTAAAATGAGTCTTAAAACGAGTCAAACGCAATGCCACGCTTCTAGAAACATTTCACTGCAGTATAATCATTTTGTCAGCAGGTGGTGCTGTCACGTTTCCCTCTTTTCTGTACAGCTAAATCCATTCAGAAACAAGCAAGAGTGGTGGGAAGTTATGGACGACTTAAAGACTTCTGGGAGTTTTGCACGTTACCCAACGCACAGATTCATTTTGTGGTCCATCGTTGGTGTGCTGCACCTCCCATTCTAAGCAGTGCCCAGGAACTTTTCCATCCGGTTTCCTCCAAAGGAGTTTGATACGGGCGACTCCTGGCAGCAGAAATGGCTTGTTTGCAGCGTCAGGCTTCACTGCATAAAAAAAGAAGACATTATGATGCTGACGGATGAAGTAGGATTGAGAATGGGAACGCAGCGCAATTAACTCGGGTTACATGTGTAACGGAGTGATATATAAACTTTATGAAATTCTGACGGAAGTGACGCAACAAAACAGTTTGGCACCTGCTTCCTACCGTATCGTCAGTCAGAGCTACGAGAAATGCAAAGTTGTGAGTGGCTTTATACGGCTCAATTAACAGTTCTATATTAATATTTCAATTTGTTTTTCTTATACTGCTATGTAGTGTGCTCAAGTAGTTCCCGTAATTGTTCTCACATTATTTTTTGTGTCGTTGTTACAGTGACGTTTTGTCGACTGAAGCGTTTTGTGTGTTGAGTTGATTGGTAAATGCTCGTTTGTTGCTCAGATACGAGCCTGAATGCGGCTCTGCTCCCGCCAAACTGTATTCCAACTAATGTGTATTTCTTTTTAAAATGTCTGTATCTAGTTGTTCATGTCGTGTCGACTGAAGCGTTTTGTGTGTTGAGTTGATTGGTCAATGCTCGTTTGTTGCTCAGATACGAGACTGAATGCCGCTCTGCTCCCGCCAAACTGTATTCCAGCTAATGTATATTTCTTTTTAAAATTTCTGTATCTAGTTGTTCATGTCGTTATTTTTTTTCATTTGATTGATTGTATTAATGGCGGGAACCCGCGGCCGCCATTCAGTACAGTATGACGCAGTCACGTACCTGCTGCGTGTGGTGTGTTCAACGATACTTCGTAAACGGGAGTGATTGTGTTCTTTTTCTGTTTTACTGTAAATACGGTAGTTGTAAAAAAAAAAATGGATCGCTGGGATTCTTATAATTTTTACCAGATTGCTTTAGTTAAAAACACTATACGATCACACGTTGTATATTTTGTTTTCGGATAAGAATAGAAACAGTATTTTGTAAGTAGTCAGAGCTTCGAGGAATGCAGAGAGATACGAGACTGAATGCGTCTCTGTTCCTGCAATGCTGTGTTTCAGTGCTACGATAAAAAGAACATCTCTAATTCACCAGAGTGAGTGGCCCGTCACACGTTTCCACATTAGAGCTGGGCATCTTGTATGTACCATAGTTTTGGATTTGGAGGGACTTGTACGTAGGCCTCAGGGGACCTTCTGGAGATGAGCCGTTGACACAGAAATTGACATCAGTAAAATCGGGGAGAGCTTTTCCTGTGAAGTTGCAGCCGCTCCTATCTCCGTTTGTAAAGACGTACATGGGACACTCCTGTGCTTTTTGCAGTTCTCTGTGCCTGCGCAGGAGAACAATCAAATTGTTATAGTGAAATTACAAACCGATTGCCTTTTCTTTTCTTTTTTTTTTTTAATCGCCAATACCTCCACCAGGGAAAATAAAATTGGCTCACCAGTAATACATATAAAGCTGTGAGTTGGCTGGAGATGTAGGATTTTTACTCCACTTGCAGATCATGCGCTCCATGTTATGAAACACGCACCCGAAATCTTTGACTGCATTACCGTGACGACCTGTTGAAATTGAGCAGTACCAAATCAAGGAATATCAACTAAACCATTCCTCACTGCTTTTTGCAGCTGACTGACCTAGGCTTGGAGGTTTCTGCACCAATTCCGTGAAGTTCCCACTCTTGATCCAAGTGTTATTAGTGCAGCGTCCACTCAGCAGGGTGTACACTCTAACTCGTATTTCCTTCATCAGATCAAACTGAGCGCTGTATGTCCTCTGAGGGGTCTGAATAATCTGGGGGTTGGGAGGGAATCGTATTCTCAGTTACTATGCTTGTATCTGAGTTATTGAAGCAGTTCTTCCGTGCATGAGGAGCGTTGCAAAGGTGCTACTCACGTCCCATCTCTGCGAATAAGCGTTGAAGTATTCCACCTTGTACAGTTGAGGACAGTCTTTCAATTTACGTAAACTCGCCGGTAGAGTCCATGTAATCTCCAGACGGCCAAGATGATCAGGATCTATGATTTTAATCTCCTCGGGGGGGTCCACTGCAAATAAAATGTCATTATTCAAGTATGAACGATGTAACGGAAGCAAACTAAAGTAAAGTTGCATATTTCTGCAGAACAATTTACTGATGACATAATATTCATTCCCACGTAGTAGGATGTTTCCGACAACCTTGAATAGCACTGCAATGCAACTCCTCCATGGCGATTATTGAGAACACCATCAGTAAAGCTCCGTGAGCCAGTTTGAACGGCAACATTTTTACGTACGCACTGTTGGGAATACAGACACAAGTTAAACATGGACAAATGTTTTTTTTTTTTAATCGCCAATACCTCCACCAGGGAAAATAAAATTGGCTCACCAGTAATACATATAAAGCTGTGAGTTGGCTGGAGATGTAGGATTTTTACTCCACTTGCAGATCATGCGCTCCATGTTATGAAACACGCACCCGAAATCTTTGACTGCATTACCGTGACGACCTGTTGAAATTGAGCAGTACCAAATCAAGGAATATCAACTAAACCATTCCTCACTGCTTTTTGCAGCTGACTGACCTAGGCTTGGAGGTTTCTGCACCAATTCCGTGAAGTTCCCACTCTTGATCCAAGTGTTATTAGTGCAGCGTCCACTCAGCAGGGTGTACACTCTAACTCGTATTTCCTTCATCAGATCAAACTGAGCGCTGTATGTCCTCTGAGGGGTCTGAATAATCTGGGGGTTGGGAGGGAATCGTATTCTCAGTTACTATGCTTGTATCTGAGTTATTGAAGCAGTTCTTCCGTGCATGAGGAGCGTTGCAAAGGTGCTACTCACGTCCCATCTCTGCGAATAAGCGTTGAAGTATTCCACCTTGTACAGTTGAGGACAGTCTTTCAATTTACGTAAACTCGCCGGTAGAGTCCATGTAATCTCCAGACGGCCAAGATGATCAGGATCTATGATTTTAATCTCCTCGGGGGGGTCCACTGCAAATAAAATGTCATTATTCAAGTATGAACGATGTAACGGAAGCAAACTAAAGTTGCATATTTCTGCAGAACAAGTCACTGATGACATAATATTCATTCCCACATAGTAGGATGGGACACACTTTATATGTTGCACCATTTAATACCCCTACACTTTGGGATTCCTTTCCAAAATGTTTGACAGTTCCACACTGAATCATACAATTTGTGGAATGGAGGGAAAAACAGGAGGCGAGAATGAATTGTAAAGAATTTATTTATAATCATTTTTTGATTTTTTTTTTTTTTTTTTTTGTTAGAAACTTGGAAGGAAAATTATTACAGATGATATGTACAGAGCTTCGGTCATTCATTATTTTCACATGCACTTGACCTACTTTAAAATACAGGGGAAAAAAAGTTTGTGTGTAATTTTTGTTTTCTGGCAGTGTCTTAATGTCACTTTGACATCATGGTTGTACCGTTGTCTTGGATTGGGTCATGAAAGGCCATGAATTGTCATCTTAGCTTTCATGATTTTGAAATCAGGAAAACGGCATAATGAAGAGTGATGTGAAAGTAATCATTTTTCATTGAACGAGGAAATGTATCGATCCATTCCTGGACAACAAATTTAAAAAAAAAAAAACCTTTTGCGAGAATTTTGCCATTGAGCTCATGAACAGCGAGTTGCAAAAAGTACACAGAAACATAGAACAAATGGACCTGTGCATTCAAAAGTTTAGAGAAGCTCAAATTAACTCCACCTGTAAAGTGCATTTTAAACTTATCCTGAAATTTCCCCCCGAAGCCAAATATCACTGCCTTTTTGCCAGTTGTGGAAGTATTCACAGAAAAAGAATGTCATGGATAAAACTTGAGAAAAAAATTGAATAAAACCGCGACGCCAGAATCAGTTACACGTCAAAGCAAACGCGGTGAAGCAGCATGTAGTTGTTATGCTGCAGGCAAGTCGAACAAGCTGCCAACAGAAGTCAGCCCAAAGTATAGATGCTTTCAAACCCAGGTTAAAAACGATGCCTTTGATTAAGATCTGTCAGCAATTTTAGATTACTTTGCTTTTAAATTCATTTTCAACGTTTTGTTTGTAAATGTGTTTCATTATTGTCAAGGTACATTATTTTTAATAGTTCCTTGTAAAATACTTTCGTTCTTTTTGCTTTTAAATATCTTGAGCTGTTTGTAAATGCTTTTAGATTTCTGACACACTTTATATGTTGCACCATTTAATACCCCTACACTTTGGGATTCCTTTCCAAAATGTTTGACAGTTCCACACTGAATCATACAATTTGTAGAATGGAGGGAAAAACAGGAGGCGAGAATGAATTGCAAAGAATTTATTTATAACAATTTTTTGATTTTTTTTTTTTTTTGTTAGAAACTTGGAGGGAAAATTATTACAGATGATATGCACAGAGCTTCGGTCATTCATTATTTTCACATGCACTTGACCTACTTTAAAATACAGGGGAAAAAAAGTTTGTGTGTAATTTTTGTTTTCTGGCAGTGTCTTAATGTCACTTTGACATCATGGTTGTACCGTTGTCTTGGATTGGGTCATGAAAGGCCATGAATTGTCATCTTAGCTTTCATGATTTTGAAATCAGGAAAACGGCATAATGAAGAGTGATGTGAAAGTAATCATTTTTCATTGAACGAGGAAATGTATCGATCCATTCCTGGACAACAAATTTAAAAAAAAAAAAACCTTTTGCGAGAATTTTGCCATTGAGCTCATGAACAGCGAGTTGCAAAAAGTACACAGAAACATAGAACAAATGGACCTGTGCATTCAAAAGTTTAGAGAAGCTCAAATTAACTCCACCTGTAAAGTGCATTTTAAACTAATCCTGAAATTTCCCCCCGAAGCCAAATATCACTATCAAATATCACTGCCTTTTTGCCAGTTGTGGAAGTATTCACAGAAAAAGAATGTCATGGATAAAACTTGAGAAAAAAATTGAATAAAACCGCGACGCCAGAATCAGTTACACGTCAAAGCAAACGCGGTGAAGCAGCATGTAGTTGTTATGCTGCAGGCAAGTCGAACAAGCTGCCAACAGAAGTCAGCCCAAAGTATAGATGCTTTCAAACCCAGGTTAAAAACGATGCCTTTGATTAAGATCTGTCAGCAATTTTAGATTACTTTGCTTTTAAATTCATTTTCAACGTTTTGTTTGTAAATGTGTTTCATTATTGTCAAGGTACATTATTTTTAATAGTTCCTTGTAAAATACTTTAGTTCTTTTTGCCTTTAAATATCTTGAGCTGTTTGCTTGTAAATGCTTTTAAATGTTGTGCTTTTGGTTGACATTGGGTTGAAATGTGCAATAAAAATAAAACGGCCTTGCCTTAAATAACGTACAGGATGCTGGTATGGAGCTTAGCGGGCATGCCTCGGCTGACATTAACCGGATGCGTGTTGCTTTTTGAAAACGAGAACGAGCGAGAGCACGTGAGTACGAGAGACCCAAACATAAGAAATTTGACAATTATTGTTCTACATTTCTTTCCACCTTCATTCACTGTGTCGCTCAAACAAAAAGCGGGAAGTATCCGTGTGGTCCATTTTTGGTCATTTCGAGTCATGGACATCATTTAAAGGTGCTCACATGGTTATGATTGGTTCACTTATGCAAGGTATGAATCATATGACTCATCAGCAGCATATGATTTATGATGGACAAGTCATGACAGACCGGCCAGCTCGTGGAATTTGCAGAACAGACTGTTACGGTGAATGTTAAAACATTTATGCAGTCACGTCCCCCTCTCTCAAGCAGCTTTTGTGTGTGTGTGTCAGCACATTTGCATATCATCTGTGTGATCGTAAACTCATGGAGGAGAACAAAACAGTTCTGTTGGGTAAGGTGTGGAAGTCAAATCATGTGACCGCAGAGGTAGCTTACGTATTGGTTTCATTTCTTTTTTTTTTTCGTCTTAAATAACGCAGATGAGGGTTATAAAACTTGCTACCATCACTCGTGATCAACCAGACTGTTTCCATGATGCCAACATAAATGTATTCTTTGACAGTTAAAAAAAAAATAAAAAATATATAGTGCTAAATGTGCCTTTCTTCAATGAAATTCAGTCAGTTTGTCTGTCATGTTAAAAAAAAAAAAAAAAAAAAAAAACCCAAAAGGGAAGCAGATATGGGATGCGAGCACATCAGATTACCGTTAACTGCAAAAAATACTCCTTTCAAGTGTAACAGAATGTCATGTTCTGGTTTTCCGGCACTGTTTACACTTGAAGTTGACTCAGATAATATATTCCTAGTTGAGCACATTCCCATGTCCTATCCATATAGTGCAGTTGAAAGAAAAGGTTTCCGAAATACTGCAACCATGTTTATAAAAAAAATTGAGTACAAGAAGTATGTGTTCCTTGGAAGGAAGTGATGAAGTCACAATTGAAAACAGTCACTCAGAGTCAAAAAATGAAAAGGAAGAAAGGGGAGAGGGGGGCAATTCAGTCAGCACTTGGTTAATCCTAGACCCATATCATTAATTACTTTGTGACCTTTATTCAAAGGAGATTATTTGAAAAGACCCGTGAGTCCTGTCAATGGCAGTACGAAGAAGACTCAAAATAATTTTCAAGTAAAAAGAAATCATCATTAAATAAATAAATAATGGTTACAATTCAAAAGTGGGAAAAAAATAAATCACACCAGTAAAATACGAGGTTGAGGATGTGATAACCGATTCAAGACTGCATCGTGATCAGAATATGGGCCAAAAGTACAAATGCGCGAAACAAAATCCTCAAACATTGGCAAAGAGACAACAAATGCCAAAATCATTTCCGCTTTCCCCCGACATGATTGAGCATGAAACTGCACGTTGTGCTTTGTGGAAGTCGTCCCGGCGTGTTTGAATCGCTCCACTGTAAAAGCATCCAAAGCAAAGATGAAAAAAAAGCTTCTCTTGTGTCTGTGTGTGGCAAAGTATAAAACGGTAGAAAATGTAAAAAATACATGACTTGAAATAAAAACAGGAGGAAATGCTCTGGAACCGCAGTGGGCTACGCGTTATCACAGTGGTCATATCGACAAGCGGAGGATTTGTACACTAGTTTACAGAAGGTTTGCGATGCCATGACTTGGAACAACAAAACGTGGTCGTCATGCATTTGGAAAGGCAAAGTTTTGGAACGGCAGAGTGCTCAAACTGGCAGAAAAGTTACCGGTATAAAGTTGAAAGAACGCAAACCGGATTTAACGCCACGTTCATCAATGAGTCAGTTACATGTCACGACCGGCACTTGACGCAGGCTCGCTAACCACTCAGCATCAAGAGAGGGATCAGCAGGACTTCTTTTAAGAGCCGCAGTCTTGTCCAAGCAGTACCAGTGGTGGAAGTCGCAAGAGGATACAAAGTCAAAGCCGTGATGAACAGGAAGTGTGTGACATCATACACAGGGACAGGAGAACGTTGACTATCTTCTCTCCCGTTTCTGTCGGGCACGAGCAAAGCCGAGAGCCTCCGGGTCCTCGACTTCCGATTGAGGCGGGAAGACGGGGATCTCTGGTCCCCCACCGGTAAAGTGGGCGTGGTCTCGGGCCTGACGGATTTATGTCAAGCAGCCGATAGTTGCGTGGGCTTCATGGCGGGCAGATCCAGCAGGGCCTGCACGGTCAAGCTGACCTTCACCAGGCCACGTTCTTCCAGGATGTGATGGGGCAGACACAGCTTGTCCTGCATTCGCAGAAAAAAACAAAAACAAAAAAATTGCAAGTGGAAGTTAGACTCTTGACAGGAAACAGACGTACAGATACTCTGGTCAAGAAAGAACTGATTACATTTTTTTCCACCAAGTGAAAGTAATGTTATATTTGAGTTATCCTGTTTTGTGCAACGAGACTATCAAGAGCAGAATTAATTTAGAGTGGCCATGAGAAATAATGCCTGCACTACCCTCCATTGCCACTAGTCAAACAATGGGGCATTTTGGTCATTACTACGAAAAATTACCAAAAAAAAACCCCCTTTTGAAATCAGTCTCATATTCTGAAGGGTCTTGAGTTCGGGCCTCACAAGGGGGCACCATTATGTGCGAGAATTGTTTTTTGGAATATGTAGTTTGTGTTGCTCTCTGGGTATTCACATTTTTTTTTTTTTTTTTAAGACAAGAGGGTTGCAATGCATTATTTTGTCCAAATTAACTAAATTTTAATTGATTCTGATTGAATGGGTCACTAAGGTTGTATCAGGATTAGTTTCAGCGATATTAAGGTTTTTTTTTTTTTTTTTTTCATATTACGTAACGATGGACATTTTGGCAGTATTACTTAAACCATTGCTCAATAAAAATGGCATGAGTAAGGACGGGAAGTTTGTAGAGGCTTACCTGGGGAACTCCCATTTTTTTACAGGCATCCAGGAAGTTCTCCACATTTCGACGGCATTTAGCCATGCTGAGCTTTGGCTGAGATGACACAAAAAAAAAAAAGGATCGTCACGAAAACGCGGACGCCTATGAGCTGCCTCACACTAAAAGTTGCATTAAATCAAAGTGCGCTACCACTGCAGGGGAAGGTACGTGAATGCTGGCCACAGAGCGAGGACAAATGTGATTGGCTAAATGACAAAGGACCACGCCATCCATCAGAGCGGCTCCGACATCGTCTGGAAGCAACACTTTCAGTCTGGACTCGATGTTCTGCAATTAAACATGTTTTTTGGAACAAAGATAAGATGACTTTTTTTTATTGGCAGAGAAGTATTCATTCAACCGTGTTTAATATTCTGATTGTAGTCTGCAGTGGAGTCATTGATGGTGCAGTGGTTATGTAATGGAAAAGGCCAAGCCAATTTGGAATCCACAGGCTTTAAAAGCAAAACCCACATAAATTCTCAGGAGAACAGGCTTAAAACGTTGCTCAAACGCTAACTCCCAAGAGCCTTTGGGAGTGGATGTTGCTCAACGCCGGGAGTTCATTTGAGTTTAGGAGACATTTGCTGAGAAGCCAGCACGGTCAGACTACAAATACTGTATTATGAGTAAACCTGAAACTGTTTTGGCCTGTGTCATAAAATTTGGATACATGTCAAATCATACTCGTAATTATACAAATGGTAGGAAACAACCTGTCGTAGGATTCCGATTTGCTCAATTTCCTCTCTTAAATGCTCCATCTTTCTCCTCATGGTGAAGCTGGGCTCAGTCGAGCTCAACTCCTGATGACTTCCTCTGGCGAAGGCTGGAATATAAAATAAGCAAAACTGTTAAGACTTCCGGATAATGAAGTGAAAAAAAAAATAAATACATGCCAACACAAAGTACATGCAAAATAGTTCAGATGAGCTCTACGGGTTACGTTAAAAACATTTCTGTGAAACAGTGAAGAACACGATGCTGAACGTGACTGATTTATAGCACTGAAGAGTTTTAAATCAAGTGCCTTCAAATGTAAACAGTGTCCAGAGTGAAACCGGGAGTGCCCCAGGAGATTCCGCTGTGATTAACTGCGAGGTGAGGGATTTGTTTGTTTCCCTAGAAACCACCTCGCTTCCAGAGAACTGCGCTTCAGTTTAACTTCAGAAGAAAATAATCGACAGACTGCTGTTTTCCAAGTAAGTTCATCATTACATCACCGTTCTATGGATTTATCTGCAAACACGATTTTCCCCAAAAAGTCATGTATGTCAAACAAATAAACATTGGATTGATATAACGTTATTATTATGGTAACACAGTTATGATAATCTAAAAATAAACCCACCGGTAGGTATGAACATATGGCTGGGTAGTTTTATATTTTTGCATGCTTATATAACGTAAACGTTTGGATTTACATGTACACGGGTCGTACCTGATCTTGGCTTGAGTCCAAACACGGTGAGTGCGGTGCTGAATTCCGAGTTGCGTAAACTCTCCTGCAGACAAAATAAATGTCACATGCAGGATATCATTCGGGATTAATGATGATGACTCTTTCCCATACACGCACGCACCTCACAGTCATCATTCCCGCTGCAGTTTTTTCGGGCGCTCTGGCATTTGTACTGTCGAGATAGCAAGCAAATAAAGGTTTTAATTACAAAACGGTTTGTCTTTGTTCAATCAATACCTTCTTTGGAAAAACTGAACCGCCAGAAAACTTTCATCCCTATCGGATCATAAACAAGATTACGCCATACCAATTTCCACGTAAGGGTGGGACATCAGTTTGCAGAAGTCAGCGTCAGTCAATGTTTTTTTTTTTTTTGATGAAAACAGATTTTTGAGAATCCAGAAATAACTGGAATTCAGTCAAAAAATTTGAGATAATCGACATCGGAAGAGCTGGATGAAGAATGGAGCACATCAGTTTGGTTTTTGTCCGCAAAGCTCTGTTAGAAGCAGACAACTGCGCGTGCGCGCACACCTTGAGATAATCTTTTCTCAGATATTTGTTTCTCTTGCGATCTTCATTTTGATTGAGAACAGGTGGCACTTCTGGCCATTTGGACTCGGAATCTGACTGATCCATCTTCAGGCTGCTGTCAAAGGAGCAGGATGACGGAGGCTATGAAAACAAGGAGATTATTGGTTCCCTCCAGACTACAGACACACAGCTAAAAGAAATACACGTACGTAGGTAGATCGTACCTGTCCACTTAGCACCGATGCGCCACTATGTCCCTCATCCAGGGAAGCGCTATAATAAATCAGAGAAGCGATCATGTTTAAATCCAGCTTTTATGCACCATTTTGCAATACAAGAGGTGACAAATTCTGCCTTTTTGAATGTCATGAATTGATACAGCTATCAGATTGTGCACCTGTATCACACGAGTCCACGGCATTTCATATTTAACAGTTGACTCCATATATTGACTATATTTGGGCACGGATAGAATTTTTAAAGTTTGGTCTACTGCATAATTGATTCCGGAAGTGCATATCAATAACTGCGGCATCGTTGCCATTCCACCAGCACTGCTGAGTGCGTGCAGAACAGGAAGCATGTGGCACAGCAACGCACCTGCGGATTTGAGGAGGAGGCCTGGCTTTGCTGCTGGAGCTCCCAGAGTGACTTAGGAATCTGCAGACACAAGACAGTCACGTACGATAAAGGTAAATCATAACCTGGCAGTTTTCCTGGGTAAGGTTAACGATTGTATGGCACAATGTAAACATCCAATTCAAGTTATTCAGAACAATAAGAATTTTCTTGAAAAAATAGCCAAAGCGCCTTGCGAGAGACCCGAGGATGTCTAGGAATAACCGATGAGTGTAATTTAAAGGGGCAAGTCCCGTAATTGTGGTATGCGCATGGAGGAGCAGCTTGCAGTGGCCATCAGCTGATTGCTAGCAGACTTGACAGCTAAAAGCAGCACGCTGCAAGCTTCCTGTTGTGTTTGTACCACGTTTGTACAAGATGCAGGATGATGCAGAGAAATATCTGGATCACTATTGCAAGTGGTGAAAGTTAGCAATGTCATTAAGTGTAAGATAAAGAGTTGTTTCCGATAGATGTATTGGAAAAAAAAATGTGTCAATGAAGTAAAAAATGCTAAATAGGAAAAGGCTGCTAGACAAAGTAGTAATTGACACATTTTTCTGGAGGAACACTGGCGTCCATTCACTCGTGCACGTAGACATACCGACAGGGGAAACGGTTGTAAAGAAAAGCCTCTTTCTCTACCTGTGAGCTCGACCAGTCACTCTGCGCCGATGGATCAGACTTTCCGCTCGGCAAATTAAGGAGCGTCGTCTAGAAGCAATACATCACACGGCCACCGCGACGGAAAGAAAAGGAGAAAACAGGATGAAGGGCGAACCGATGCCAAGCGACGTGAAGCCGATAAGATTGTTAGCGCTAAGAGAGGACAGCCGTGAAAATGTGCTCGAGCCGCGTTCGCGATGCACGGCGATAAGTCAAGCGGAGGAGCCGCGCACCTGTTCTGCTGCTCCTGCTGCAAAAGCTGGACGGCGATTTTCCTCAGATCCAGCACCTCCTTCAGTTCGTCATCCTCCTCCTCCTCCAGTAGCTGCTCCTTGTCGGAGCTGCGAGGCGGACAGGAGCGTAGGCCTAGTACAGCTTCACGTGTACGAAGGTATTCCCCGCGACAGTCATCATCGACCCAACTCCCGTTATTACATTCCTCTTGTCTTTTTATTAGTAGAATAGATATGAGCATGAAATAAGAGTGAGACAGTCTCACACCACGGCAGGCCTTCAAAAGTTGCATTACCAGCCCACAAACTGAGATATGTTCATGATGTTCTAGTTTCCTCATTTAGTTGCAAGGCGTTAGAAAATATCAGAAACAGCTCCCAGTATAATGCAGCACACTTAATTTTCTTGTCTGAAAAGACGTTTCAAAACGTCTTTGGGAGTGAATGAGTTAATTATTATTTTTGTGTATATATGTATAGAAATAGAATCTTACCCCGACTCCTCTTTCCAGCTCTCCTTGTCTTTGCTTTGGTGAGACAAGTTAAGAACCTTTTCCAATTCCTGAAATACACAATGGAAGAAACATTTCTGTCATTTCTCAGTCCGAGCTCGGAAGAGACGACGAGAAGATAGCTCCTTACCTTAATACACGACACATGACAATTCTGCTGTCCATCACACTCTGACAGAGCAGGATCCTCATCCGGGTTGGGTTCTATAAAGTCATACAGATCCTGATCTGATAGAGGGAGGAAGCATCCGCGATGATCACATTAACGCTCGCTTATGTATATACGTCTAGGCACTTCATTCAATTCATCCCCCTCGCTTCCGTTACTGCGTTCAAAGGGGTAATCGGATACTTATTGTTGGTAACCTTTGCAAGAGTCCATTTTGGAAAGGATTGAGAGGGCATCGGCGCGGGCCGTCTCAGACACCTGAGAGTGGAGGCTGACGGTGTCGTCGTCCGAAGGCTGCGTGAAGCAAAGAGATGCTCTGTCAGTCTACATTCGCTTCAATGACATTTTAAACACAAAGATTGATTCAAAGTCATATGTGGCACACTTTGGCCTCCATTCTGTGATCAGTTCCCCTAGTCTGGAGGAGGGAAAGCTTTTAGGCTCAAAGGGGTCACATTTGATTCTTAAAAAAGGCTGAATGGAAACGTCATTCAGAGATGGGTCCCAAAAAAAAAAAAGTTTAAATGAATGGGTACACTTGTTTAGTTCAACAATTTCATTTCAGGTTTTAATATTAGAATTTATAATTGATTTAATTGTAATTAAGTCATCAATTATCAACATCTATTAAAAATTACAAAACGTGTATGTGGACATTAGTTTATAGGTTAGGGTCCACTCTTTTTATTTACTTGATGTCTGACCTCTGTTGTTGACAGCCTCTTGTCACCATTGTCACTCCCAATTCCCGAATCAGGCCCGTGGTTCTTACTGGGATAAAAATCTTCCATGCTGCACACAGGTAAGAACACGAGTCGGTATGGCACTCGAACTTGTGAGAACTACAACACAACAATTGGTGGATCAAACATCACTTTGGCAGAGGCATACCTATCTGTGAGCGGCTGTGGAAGACAGCGTTTGCCGAGGGACGGCAGGTCCAGGGCGTCTGGCTTTTTGTCCGACCTGCACGCTTGAATATTTAGGTACTTGAATATGTGCACTTTTCCCTTGAGGCAAATCTGAAACGTTGACGAGAGATGTGTTGCTTTCTCCACCAGATGGCGCAATCGTGCCAGATCTGTATTGCTTGCGCCCAAGCCTTGGAACTCACCTGTGCTGGAGGAGACTGCATAGGATTGTTATCGAGGATAATGTGCTGCAGTTGCCTGAGTTTCCTGTAGGTTGCTGGGATCTCTGTGATCTTATTGCAGGAGAAGTCAAGTCGAATGAGAGGGAGATCAGACAGCTCTGTCGGCAAATTGGACGTACGTGTGTCACAAAGAGCTGTTGTTGCTCACTGGGTAAGTCATTATTAATACCAACAATTCTACATTATATACAATATATGCACATACAATATACGGTGACATTACATTCGGGTCTATCTAATAGAGAGAGACCTTTCGGAAATATTCTAAATGATTCATCCATCAACCATTTACACCGAAAGAAAAATGAGTTAGTGCAACATAGGGTCAGGTTCATGTCAGGGTTTCACTCTGACCTTCCGGAAGAATCTGCAGACAGTTCTTCCTAATGTTGAGTTCTCGTAAGGCATGGAGACGCCCGATCTGGGCTGGCAGCGCCTGGATCTCATTACAGCTCACATCCTGTAATGGGGAGAGAGATTGAAAACATCCAACAAGCGTGGCATGCTGTATGCGTAGCTTGTTTAAGCATGGGGAGAGAAAAGCTGCTTACAAGTTCCATCAGTTCTTTGGCTTTGCCGATCTCTTCGGGGATGGACACCAGCTTGTTGTTGCCCACAAGCAGAACTTTGAGTGGAAGGTTGAACAAGTGTTTGGGCAAAACGGATATGAGGTTTCGACTGGAGAGGGGGGAAAAAATGGAGAGCAAATAACACTTACATATTCAAGTACAATGTTTCGCAGTAAAAATGGAACAGGTATTTGAAACACACACGCACACGTCATAATTGTACTTTGTATCTCTGGATAATAAGGACCAGGGGCCAGAAGTGTGGCATGATCACCTGATGTCAAGATACGTCAGTATCTGCAAGTTAATGATGGCTTCTGGGATGCACTTGATACAATTGTGGTAGAGGTTGAGCGACTCCAGTGGGGCAAAGAGACAAACTTCTGGAGGGACCTCAGAAAGACGATTCTTGGACAGATCTGCCGACAAAAACAAAACACGCTTTAGAAACAAAAAAAAAAAAATATGGCATCTTGAAAATGGAAGAATAGAAAAATTGTCCCGCCCGACTGGAGAGGGGGGAAAAAATGGAGAGCAAATAACACTTACATATTCAAGTACAATGTTTCGCAGTAAAAATGGAACAGGTATTTGAAACACACACGCACACGTCATAATTGTACTTTGTATCTCTGGATAATAAGGACCAGGGGCCAGAAGTGTGGCATGATCACCTGATGTCAAGATACGTCAGTATCTGCAAGTTAATGATGGCTTCTGGGATGCACTTGATACAATTGTGGTAGAGGTTGAGCGACTCCAGTGGGGCAAAGAGACAAACTTCTGGAGGGACCTCAGAAAGACGATTCTTGGACAGATCTGCCGACAAACACAAAACACGCTTTAGAAACAAAAAAAAAATATGGCATCTTGAAAATGGAAGAAAAGAAAATTTGTCCCGCCCTTTGCCTTCACTATTCTGGGAAGATGCTCAACATTATGGTCATCTGAAGAAGTTCCAAATGTTGGCGTTTTATTGATCTCAGAGCAACACCAATGCTGGCAAAAAGTTGGAATTGTCCAAAATGTCTTGGTCAACTACTTTTGTCCATAATGTTTACTGAGAACATACAGGCATTGTCTCTGTCGTAGGCAAAAACCATTGACTACTAGGCAGACAGATCAATACAACATAGTGAGTGGGGAACATGTCATCATTGAACACTGCGGTCTAAAATTACATCAATCTTCGTCGTACTGCATGGATGAATTTACAATTCCTTTTATTGATCCCACTGGGAGGGACATTAATGCCTTAAAGAAGTCGCACGGCAGTGTACTAATGAGATATTCCAACCATTCAAATTGTTTGAAAATATGGATTTTGTAATTAAAATGATTGTTCTGCCATTCTCTGCACAAAATCCACAAAATGTCATCACAAATATTACGCAGCGTGACCGTCTCGAAAAAACTGCTCAAATCACGTTTGACCCAACTATATATAGATTACAAAGAATCCTGCAGACGTCAACAACCAGAGTTGAGAACATTTATGGACCGTTGAAAAAATATTTTCATGTCCACAATATCTGCAGCTCTCGCCCTCTCTTCCTCGCTTTCGCTTTCTCCATAACTCAGCAAAGATAAGCGTTGTCTTTTCAAATCAATGGGGACATAGGCGAGCGATTTATCGTATGTGGAGCCGACCTAGTTTGGACACCTATTGATTGTGCAAATGAGCTGATGCCAAACCGTGACAAAATGTAGAGCCACAGATAAACATATTGTATCAGTCAACATCATTGCTCCTTCATCCAATAAGGTAACACGTGAAATTTTCTTCTAGCTACCATGATGCGGCTATTAAATATTGAGCTTCATCCACATGACGTTCAATAGCAGAGGCCAGGAAGAATCCAGAAAGCAGATGTGAGAAGACCATATGAGACACTTTGTCAGTCCGCAGGAAATCGGCCTATGGGGGTTAAAGGAAACACCAATTATCACCTTGAGAAGACCAAAGCTGCGGTCAAAGGGTGCAAGCACCTTCCATTAACAGTACTGTAAATGCTTAAAGCTTAATAATGTTACGCAGCTGCATTTGGGGACCCCCGGCCCCTCCCGAGAAGCCTCACAGCTGGGGATTCTTCGCACCACCGGAGGTTTGGTGGGGGTGGCGCACAGGCGTGTCCACCTCCCGTTTCCCTCCTCCAACCAAGACCACACGCCATCTGCAGCCCACAGTGGGCCTTGTTCTTCCACCTGCTGCCTGGCAGACGCTCCCAGCAAGAGTCCACTCTTGCCACACCTCCAGGCCAAATCGGCAATCCATTCATTTGTGCCGGAGGTGCAGATGATGTCTGGCTCCTTCTGCCAATGACACAGCAAACTCTAAAATAGACATCCTGCTGAGCGCTGCTTCTCTCACTGCTGTCGCTCTCGCAAGGATTTAACACAGGAAGTAACCCTTTAAACATTCAAGATGTCATTAACATAAAGGAGCCGTGTTACAGTTCATTGACATCCGCTAAGTTGTGGGCAGGAAAGAAAAAACATGTAAAAATGTCAATGTTAGTATCATTTAACTAATTATCACAGTCAGGAGTAGTTAGCAGAGCAGTTTTAACTACAGTCAACTTATAAGACCGCACAGTTTCATTATTCTGCAATAATTTCAAAACTGAGTGACTCCATTGAAAATGACTATCTATTTGAACAACATAAAGCTCCAGTATTTTGATTAGATTCCATTATTCACGTGTACTTAAATAAGCGGAATGAAAACCAAGTGTTGAAAGCCGCGCAAAGCTCGTGTTTCTTGATCACAGTGCAGAGTTTTGCCTATGTTGACCTCATTGCGTGAAATGTTGGCCACATTAATATTAAATGACTGCAGAGACGGGAAAAATAAGGGAGCGCCAATTATGTCGTCTTACGGCAAACACACAATAGGCGGTGTCAAATAAATGAACACGGTGTTGTGGTACTAATGTAGTGGAAAATGTTTTCACTGTTACATAAACCGTAACTACATGCTTTAATGACAGATTAAGTCCAACGAGTGATTACTGTAGTGTGACATCATTAAAGTGATATGGCCTTGTTTTTTTGCTCGGACAACTATGTCTTGTCTCAACATGCGCGAGCACATCATGAAACAGCCCCGGTTTTTTTTTTTTGCTTGGACAACTATGTCGTGTCTCAACATGCGCGAGCACATCATGAAAGAGCCCCGGGCCGGAAAATCACTGCGCAGGAATAGAGATTGTCAAGCTACAGTCACGTGGCTGCGACCATGCCAAATATAGTTAGAACCGGTTGTTTTTATGCAGCCTGTCATTTTTGTTTTTTCTCCGTGAATCACCCTGCATTGTGCTTGGACTATTATGACGAGCACAGAATTGACACAGGTTGATAATTAAATTCAAGTGTGTTTGAGGGCTGTCGGTCCTCAGTGAGGCATCTTGGAGAAGCAAGCACAAGAATGTGACAACACATGACTTAGAAGAGCTTTGCTGGTCACACTCAAGCCATGAAAGTACTTTTATTCATTGTGCCTGAGCATGGAAATCAACTGGAGAAACACATTTTAAGCCTTGCTGGTAGAAAAGCCATTTTGCAAAACTCAAGTAGAAGGTCAGGCAGGGAAAAAAAAAACACGTGATAATGACGAATAGTAACGATACAATACGATTTCTGGGGCCGGAATGTTTACATTTTGCAAGTATTTCACAGCTTACCTTTTTTTTTTTTATCCAGCCAGAGTGACCTACAAACAAAGATTAAACTTTATCTTGTCTGTGACCTTGTGCACTTTGAGGAGGTGTGTTAAATTGTTAAATACAAGCCTGAGCCCTTTTTTAAAAGCCATAACACCAATTCTTTAAGTCAAGAAGAAGTTCGATTGGCCAAATCTCAAATTCTGGCCCACTTTAGAGCATTGCTTCTTTCTTATTGCCGCCATTCCAAATGTCTTAGCGACCCACTTTTGTGTCCTAACCACCAGTTGAGAGTCACTACTCGACTCAGTTCCACAAATGAACATTTCAAGAGAATTCCACATGCTGCGACTTGCAAACAGTGCAAATACCTCACACCGTCTAGCAGGGTGATGCGGGTCCTCTGTAGAGTGAGCTAACGCTGACATATGAACCTGAACATCTGCCCAGGTTATTAACCAAGCCTTCTCCAGTCAGGCCCTCAGCCCGCAGCTCTTTCCCATGAGAAAACAAACCGAGTGGAGACAAAGTGCCAGTGGCGCACTGCAAACAGACACCCTTGTGCGAGGAGACTCCCTTGCTTTCTTTGCACAACACCGCTCATTAGTCAGATGACCCGCACTTAGCCAGACCCTGAGTACAAACAGCAACAACACAAAACCTCGCCTTTCATTCAGCCTTCAAAGCTCACCTGCAAAAACAATGGCTGCCGGCAGCATAGACAAGCTGTTTTCGTTTCGCGATTGCAGTAGAAAGTTAATTTGGATCAAGTCAACAAAGTTTATTTGGGGAACATCATACCGAGTTAAGAAAACTAATGAAATTAAAGCTAAAAGTGAAAAACATCTTTGCCAGTGAAATAAAGTAAAAATTTAAATACTTAAATTCAAAAAAACTAATTGAAACTAAATGTTACGTTTACAAAACTGGCTGAAACTACAACATACAATACTAAAATCGAAAATGTCTCGTTTTTGTTTTTGTCTATTAATCTCATACATTAGTTTTTGGGGTTCATTTTAGATGGATTCAGTTTTGACATACATCTGTACAGAATCAAGTCGAATTGCAGTTTACTTTATCACACAGTACATAGTGACCTTTTTATCTTACACTTCACAAATACTCCATATATATATTAAAAAAACAACCTAATACTAAAACTAAAAAAAAAAAAGAATTTTCGAAATCAATAAAAATTAACAAACATGCTCAAAATACTAGCTAAAACTAACTGATAAAAAATATAATTAATGAAATACAAACAAATTAGAATTTAAAAAAATCAAACACTATAATCGTTCTGCATCATATGCTTGCCCCGGCCATCCACTATGCTTAAGTTTGGAAACTACTGTAGCTTGCCTTGCATTGTCCATCGTAAAGGGTAAACATTCGTAGCAAAGCTGTTGTGGATATGAAACAATTTGACCACATTTCATTCCCCGGGGTGCTCACCTCCAATCAATCACCATCCTGTGCTTTGAGATATACATGACAAAGTGTAACACCATATGGTATATGGACATATCAGAGAAGAAAACTATCATTAGCAGACATGAACCCTCTAAGTGGCAAGTATAATGACTTAAGATGCTGACAGAATGAATAATAACTGACTGATCAGGCTGCCTGCGAGATCAGATTCCTTGGAATCTCATTGAATTATAACAATTGTGTGCCTTCATGTGCATCTTCTAAAAGCCCGGTAGAAATTTCCTGTATGCAAGAGCTAATATTAACAAACCAAACGGCTGCATATAAAATAGAAATAAGAGGTAGGAACCGAGACTAGTGTATCTTCCTCCTTTCTGCGTGCTCTTTTAAGCATCGCGCACGCACGCATGTAAAGAAGGGTGAGGCTGCAAGGACGATCTTTTGTCCGCATGCGACCAAAAAAATGCACCGCACTAAAATTAAATCCCAGAATCTATTGGAAATGTTTCATTCATATTCTCCTCCAATGCACTACATGCGCAGTGGCTGATTTGGGTGCGCCTGCCGACGTCTCATTCATGTAT